ACCCCCCAGGGGGGATGGTCACGCCGCAATCCCTTCTCCTCCATTCTCCTCTCGGGATCTTGGGCACGCACACACATGCGCCCGGCGTGAATTCTCAGCCACCGGGTCCAGGACGCCAACCGTGGTCGATTATGTGGGAGTCCAGCAACATAGCCATTATGCTAACTGCTGGTTCCCAGGAACTGCGTTTTCTAGTCATTCTAAGCAGAAGCTTTCCGGTCACTGTGCGTGTCCCTCTCCCTGTGGCTGTGGTCATGGAGGGGGAGAAAGCAGCCTGCCCAGACCACAGCTCGCCCTCCCTTCACTGCCTGCTGTTGGTCCCGTGTCGGGCCTGCCCTGGGGCCTGTGGTCTGTCTTCATGTTTTTCCAATGAGGGCAGCAGCTTCAAAGAAGTGAGTCTCTCAGTTACCCACGGATCGCAGCCCAGGCCTTCCCCAGGAGAAGAGCTCATGAGGACGGCGAGGGGTCTCGTCCCAGGACACCTGAAGGTCCGACGCATCGGGCGATGTCTGGATGTTTCCGAAGGGCTCAGGGGAGGGAAACGGGTTTGCACTGTGGACCTGCCTTGTCCTCTAGGAACCGGAGGGCAGTCTCTACGCCACGGCTTAGTCCCAAACTGGCCAAGACAAGGGCTTCTGGACACAGCACTGCTGGCATCAGGGCCGACGGTGCTGTCATGGGTGCCCTGTGTGTCATAGGGTGCTCAGCGGCATCCCTGGGAGCTCCCCACAACGCGGCACCCCCACTCTCCCACTGTGACAGTGCAGAGTTTCTCCAGACATTGCTCAAGGTCTGGGGTGCTGCAGGGCAGGGGGAAATCACCCCCAGTGGAGGAGCACTGGAGGGAAGTGATGCCCACAGTGTTGGCCACGCGAGTGCTCACTACGTCACTGGGTGTTGGCGGCTGCGTAAAGGCTGACCTAGGAAGCTGACGAGGTGGGAAGGCCTTACTCTCTGTGCCCTTCAGCTCCAGGGAGATAACAAAGAGCACCCCCCACCAACCCCGGAACAGGGGGGTCAGCAACGGCCTCAGGGTATCGTGTCTATTCCCAAGTAGGCCACTCCTGGGCCTCGTCGCATTTATTTTTTAAAGACTGATTGATTGATTGATTTGATTTTTACCTGTTATTATTTTTATTTTATTTTATTAATTTTTAAAAAATTATTTTATTTAACTTTATTTATTTATTTATTTATTTTTATTCGGCCAGAGAGGGACAGTGAGACAGTGAGAGAGAGAGAGGGAAAGTGAGAAAGCAAGCCGCCAGGCCTGGGACTCGAACCACAGTTAGCCTTGTGGGAGTCCAGCACCCTTCACCACACCACCTGCTATTTTTTTAGTTTTTAATTCGACCAGAGGGAAACAGAGAGAGAGAGAGAGAGAGGGAAAGTAAGAAACCAAGCCTCCAGCCTCAGGACTTGAACCATAGTTGGCTATGCAGGAGTCCAGTGCCCCAACCACCAAGCCATTTGCTGGCTCCCTATGTCACATTTTCTATAGCAGGAATAGGAGCCCAGCATAGTCACTCGGCACGGGGCGCTGTTCACAGACTCTGGTCTGTTATGGGAGCTCATTGTGCCAGGGGGCGCTCGTCTCTGCTCTGTGGGGATAATGAAGGTGCGCGTGTAGAGGGTGCAGGTGAAGGGCGGGGCAGGTTACCTGGTAGCTGGTACCTGTGAGCATTTAACCAGCACCGTCTGCTGTCGTGATCCTGTTAGCTGAAGGAATTGAACCCCTCTTTCCCCTTGGTCATGAAGAAGGAACCTTCGCGGTGTTCCCTGGGGAGGCTAGGATGCAGCCTGGCTGGGTTAGCCCAGGCTCTGTGTTAGTTATAATTTGAACACAAACAGACAGAGAGAGAGAGGACGTAAATCGCTAGGTCCGGGACTCGAACTGTGATAGGCCGTGTGGGAGTCCAGCACCTTAACCACTACGCCCCCTTCCGGCCCCGGCCCTGAGCTCTTTACATCATTAGGCCTTGCTGGAATGAGGACGTGGCCTCAGAGGGGAGGGGACTCTGAGGGGGGGGACACGCTGCCCCCCCTTACCTTCTCCCAGGACCTTTCTACTCACAGCTCCTCCAGGTGGCTCTAAGTGCCTGAGCCTCACCAGCAGACAGGGTGACACCTGTCCAATGCGCAGCTTCCCGAAGAGCATAGTTGTGGTTGTCCGTGTCTTCGGCCCTGGCCTGGGTCCTTCGCTGTCTATCCAGACCTTCCCCCATCCTGCTGCACACGTGCCACGGTGGCCGGCCGGCAGCCCATGCCGCCCCTGTCTTTTCAGGAAGGCGAGAACAACGACAAGTTCTTCACCCACCCCAAGGATGCCAAAGCGCTGGCGGCCTACCTCTTTGCACACAACCACCTCTTCTACCTGATGGAGCTGTCCACCGCCCTGCTCCTGCTGCTGCTGTCCCTGTGCGAGGCCCCTGCTGTCCCCGCGCTGCGCCTCGGCATCTACGTAAGTGCCCCGCTGGCCGGGATCCTGGCTCTCTGGGGGGCAGCCGCAGAGCCTGAGAGGGGACCTTCCGGAAGGGCAAACCTCGCAAACTGGAATGGGGGCACTGGGTGGTCGCAGAGGCCTCGGGAGCCTTGCCTGGGTGACCTTCCCTGAGCTCTCTGGGATTCTGGCCCGCTATATTCCAGGGAGGGGCGGGCACCCGGTTGGCAGCCCTACCCCATGTCCAGCCTCCAAGGAGAAAGCAGATGGTATGGTCTGGGGCGGTGGGGGGTGTGGTGGGCAGCCCAGCCCTGCGAGTTTGCTTATCCCAGACTTTCATTCGTGCAAAGCCATCCTGGGCCCCTTCTCAGGGAAGATACGGGGACACCTTTGCCTCTCGGGTTAGGGAGTTCCTGTGCAGCCTGGGTCCTGAGGCTCCTGTGAGCCAGCCCTGCTTTTCCCCCGCAGTGTCCCTCCCATTTCTCCAGCTTCATGCCTATACCCTGAGCCGCATCGCTCTGCCTTCCCCCTTCAGGTCCAGGCTATCCCCTCTCCTCTTCCTGTCCCTCCCCTGTCACTTCCTACCTCTGCACCAAATCTGAGTCTCACTGGAGTGTCCATGTACCCAGGAGGCCTCTCTGCATAGCTCAGGGAGATGTCCCAGAGCCCTGGGCTTCCCTGCCAGGAAGGGGTGTCAGGAAGGCAGAGGGGTCACCTAGATTTCATGTTGACTCAGGGCCCTCTCATCTGGTCACTTGTGGTCATGCCATTTGTGGTGAACGACCCAGTGAGATGGCTGAGAGCACCCTGGCCCTGGAGACGAAGCCACAGCCATGCTCCAGAAAGCCCTTTGGGATCTTCTCTGTTCTTTTTTTTTTTAAAGAGAGAATTTTGCTATAGGGTACGTGCACTCACTGGAGAGACAGAGAGAGACAGAAAATGAGAAATCACCCCCCAGGGGAGATGGCTATGCCACAATCCTTTCTCTTCTGTTCTCTCAGGATCTTGGGCACGCATTCACATGTACCCAGTGTGAGTTTCACACTGCCGGGTCCGGGACTCGAACCATGGTCAGCCATGTGGGAGTCCAGCAACAAAATCATTACACCATCTGCTGGTCCCTTCCCTGTGTGCTTATCCTGTTGTCCAGAAAGAGGAAAGAGGGTTATAGAGGCATCACCTGCTTGAAGCCTTAGCTCTTGGCCTCTTGGGTTTTCAGTTAAAATCTGGTGTTTTGCCCCCATTGATTTTTGTTATTAATTTCCTAATTCATGCTTTCCTAATGCCTTTCCTGTCATTGTGTACTTTATGTGTAATCCTTCCTCAATATAAAAGAATTGGTGTAAGCTAGTCAGAACTGGTATGGACAAAACTAACCTGTTCACAACCAGCCCAGACCAGTCAGAAACCAGTATGAATCTGTTAAACCAGTCAGAACCAGCATAAACCAGTCAGAACTGGTAAGAACCTGTGAGAACCAGTACAAACTAGTCTGAACCACATTGAACCAGTATAAATCTGTCTGAACCACATTGACTGAGCCTGTCAGAACTGCATAAATCAGTCAGAGTTGATTAAAACCAGCATAAACTGGTCAGAAGAAGTATACATTGGTCAGAACCTACATAAACCGGTGTGAAGCAGTCACATTCAGTATGAACTACTCGCAACTGGCATGAAACAGAATTGTGACTGGCTCAGACGATTTCATGCTGCTCGTGACTGGTTCAGACCAGATTATACCGGTTCGGACCAGTTTGTGCCAGTTCATACGCGCTCTGACTAGCTTCTAATGGTTCATACAGGTTCAAACCAGTTTTAGGCTGGTTCTGACCAGTTCTGACATGTTTCTGCTGGTTCTCACCAGCCCTGCCTTTGTAACACAGTTAAGGTACAAGATCTCCTGAGTACACTGCATGGGGGTGTGTGGGGGGGGTGCTGTTCTTCACTTTCCAGAGCTTTCTCACTGCCAAGGAGTCAACCTCTGACTGCTGAGATGCAGAGAGGCTGTGCACCAGGAATCTCCAGCCATCTCCCTCCCCAGCTCCCCAGGATGAGATTACAATCGCTATCCCCAGCTTACAGAGCAGGAAAGAGAGGGAACGTGACTTCCCGAAGCCAAGCAGCTGTCGGGCGTTCAAGCTAGGATTCGAGCCCGGGTCTCTTTGGTTCCGACCTCTGGGCAGCTTCCCCCATTTCACGGAGTCGCAGATCCCCCGAGACCCACGCAGATCTGCACACACAGACACAGGTCCAGGCTCCTGTCCTCACAGCCCCTCTCTAACCCAGCTCTGAGCTTTTCCAAGACAGTAAGTCTGAAGAGCCTTATGTTCGGCCGACTCCCGAAATAAAATGGGGCGCCTGTGGATACATCTCTGATGGACACAACCTATCGGCTGGTTTCACTGTTAATCAATGCAGGGAGGGACCATGTAAACTTGGGCACTTTCTTAAATTTCGACTGTATGGATAATGACTATCGATTTTTTGTGGGTTTTTTTTGTTTGTTTTTACCAGAAGGCATGCATGCTCTCCTGGGAGGCAGAAATTGGGGGAGAAAGCACCCTCGTATTTTTTTTGTTTTTACCAGAAGGCATGCATGCTCACTTGGGAGGCAGAAATTGGGGGAGAAAGCACCCTCTAATGGGGTGTGGTCACACCACAATCCCTTCCCATCCACTTCTCTACCCTCTCAGGATTTGGGGCATGCACACACACACACACACACACACACACACACACACACACGGTGCCCGGTGTGTTTTTCAAGCCTTCAGGGCCAGGACGTGAATAGTGGTCAGCCATGTGGGATCTGATTCCCTTAATCATCAGGCTAAAGGTCAGCCTTCAGGTTTGTGTTTAATTGTCTGGAAAAGGGTCTGTGACCAAGGCCTCTGAGACTGGGCTGGCCGTGCCACTTCTCGACCTTTGGCTGCAGGTCCACGCCACCCTGGAGCTGTTCGCCCTGATGGTGGTGGTGTTCGAGCTCTGCATGAAGCTGCGGTGGCTGGGCCTCCACACCTTCATCCGACACAAGCGGACTATGGTCAAGGTGATGTGTCTGTCTTTCCCGCTGACGCCTCCTGACGCCATTTTCTCCCAAGTCACCTTCAAGCCTCCATCTTCAGTTCCATTCAAAGTCCCCCATGGGCCTAGTCTGCACTCAGGAGTGTCACCTCGGGCCCCTGCCATCCCTGATGTCGCCAGGCGCCCTGCATGTCCTGGCGATGCAGGTGGCATGATTTGGGATTTAGCGTGTCACCTTGAAGGAGGCGTGATACTGTCCCTGGTTCATACCCAGCAAGGTGGAAGAGAATGGGATTTACATCTTGGAGAGATGGGGTTCGAACCCGGCTCTGTCTGACCCCCATGACTGTGCAGAGTGGTCACAGTGTCGGGCACCTTTAGAGGGGTGTCAGTAGAGGCATGTTAGGGTGACACTTTGTAGTGTGAGGACCGTGCACCCTTGTCTAGGAGAAGGTACCCACGGAATTGGAGGCCAAGGCGGCTACAGCCCTTAGGGCTTCGTGTGCAAGTGGGGAGAACTGGGGTGAGGGCAGGTAATGGGGACAGGCAGTGTGGCGTCTGACTTCGGTGAATGCCATCAGATAAGCCACCAGGAACAAACCCCTGTTTTTCTTCCTCCGGGGGCCCCACATTTGTACCGGGAGCTGGAAGGCTGTCCTTCTGGGACAGTTTGGTGTTTGTGGGAGGTGGGTGGTGGCGAGGGGCGGGGACCTCTGGAGGCCCGCGGAGGTGACATCTGTCCCGCGAACGTGGCCTGCAGGAGGAGGGCTGGGCCAGAGGAGCTGACGGCGCTCTGCCCTCCTCCACTTCAGACGTCCGTGCTGGTGGTGCAGTTCATCGAGGCCACCGTGGTGCTGGTGCGACAGACGTCACACGTGCGGGTGACCCGGGCGCTGCGCTGCATCTTCCTGGTGGACTGTCGGTACTGCGGCGGCGTCCGGCGGTAAGGCGGGGGAGGAGCCGGTCAGAAAGGCCCGAAGCTCTTGGCAGTCAGTGAGGCGGCGCTCAGAGCGCCCCTGCTCATCCGTGCCACCGAGTACACCCACCTCCCACGGCCACGGGAGCCATGGCCCGGGGCAGGCCCTCCACAC